TTCTATTTCAACAAAAGAAATCTTAGCATAATCAAATTATCATATTATTAAACTTTGGAATTTGAAAGCTTTAAGATCATAATAATCAGAAATGGATGGCCATTCTGATTCAATTAATTTAATATCAATATCTCCTGATGGTTTATAATTAGTATCTGGTTCTTTGACTTAAATTATTAGATGGGAATTAACCAAATTAAAAAAAATAGATGTATTAATTAAAGGATAAGGTTTGCGCTCTATCTTTTGTTTCTCTGAAGATGCAAATTATTTTGCAGCTGTTGATAAAGATCCTTGCCTAATTATAATTTGGAAATTAAATACTTTATATTTAATTGAAAATTTCATGACAATAAGTTACTTTACTTAAGCAATAAATTTAAAATTTTAAATAGCTGATAATCATCTAGTTTCATGCTATTAAATTGAATCTTAATTGTATCATATAGCTTGAGATTTGAGTAAGCCTGAATTATATTAAATTTAAAGAAAAACTTGTTAGGTTGACATTCCTAAACCTGCCATGTAATTTTTAAGTGATAATAATTTAATGATATAAATTAAACCTCTTAAAATTTTTGTTTTTTTTGACCAAGAAAGTTCAGAATATTTTTAATTTGATAATTCTTAATAAATATCAGATGCTAAATTAGTTACTATTACGCATGACAATCTTAAAATGGCAGTTTAAAATGAAAGTGAAATAATTATTTGGTCTTTTACAAAAAAACAAGTTGAACATAGGTTTGAAAATGATATTGGATATACATAGAATTTAGTATTTTCAGGAGATAATAAAATACTATTTACTAATTACAATGTTACTATTAGATGTTTAGACGTAACCGATTAATACAAAATTATTAAAGAGTTCAAACTAAAAAAACCTGATGAAATGGATGAATAATAATTTGATTAAGCTTAATGTTTTCCTGTTGAAAATGATAATTTTCTCATTATATATTCTTTTATTGAGCCTCTTAAAAAGATTGTAATATTAGCAACATATGTATCTGATTTTGAGTAATTTTAAATGTTGTTGGAAACAAAAACTAGTAGAGATTTTTTTAATTGTGCATATTGTGATAAAAGACAGATCTTAGCTATTCAAAATAATTTTTATTTCTCTTTATTTGATATGAAATCTAAAAAATAAATTGCAATATTAGAACCAAATTAATTTACAAATTTTAATCCTCATTTATTACGTTTTTAAAAAGATGGAAATTTATTAGTATCCATCGGTTATGATATGAGCATTATTCTATGGGATTTGTCTGATTTAAGAAAAATTAAACTTAAAGTAAACCAAAATTACCAACCAAATCAATAGGAAGTAATTAGCATATCATTTTAAGAATATGAAAATCAAGTTTATATATAAAAAATTCTCAGTAGTAATGATATAAATGCAGATAATATTTCAGATTATGTTGAATACTGTTAATTTTTGATAGAGGATATAAATTATAATTATTTAATAGAAGAGACTTCAGAGTATAAATTGCATATTAAGGAAAACAAAATAGAAATTAACAAATAAAAAGATGGGAAATCGATATATTTTTTAGATCAATTTAATACATAAATTAATTGTGCCACATTTACTCCATGTAGTTAAAACATTATTTTAGGGATGAAAAATGGGTCAATTTTATTTTATAGATTAGATTAAAATTAGAATTAACCAAAATGCTTCAAAAGCTTTACTTTATATCCTTTAATTTTAGCAGATTCATGTAGTATTAAAGGTTCTATATTTTTTAATTAAGAAAATCGTAATTTACTAAATTTATTTCATGAAAAAGGTTCCATAACATAATGATATAAATACGTCAAAATTAAACAATTTAAATTATATTTAGTTGATTTAAATTTCTTCTTCTTTATATTATTTATATCTATTTCATTTATATAGAGTTCTATCTAATATTGATTATATTTTTCTTTACACTTTAATTAAAATCTAAATTTAAATGTGTAAAATTGCAATATATTTCTGTAATTATTTTTGTTAATCTTAAAATGATTCTGATTAATTGCAAATGGAAATACTTCAAGATCCTTTAGAAAATTTTAAGAATAATTTTCAATTTAATTCATCTTTCAATAACAAAATATAAGTATTAATTTACATAGATATAAAGAATAAGAAAATATAATTAAAGAAATAAAGGAGTAAATAACAGAACAACAGAGTTTTTAAATTCAGGTCATACTAGATAATAAGGAATAGTTTAATTTTATAGTTGAATTTTAGTCTTTATATTATTAATAATAAGTGTAATTATTGAATTAAATATAGAAGGAGATGGTTTAGCAATAAATTAAAAAATAATCTGTTATAAATGTATTTTTTGCTAATTTTATAAATACACTTAATTTTTACAAGAAAAAATACCTCTTTTTTTTTGGATTAGATACCTTGATAAAAAAATAGTCATCTAACCTTTTATCAAATCCAAAATATATTAATGATTAGAAGTTTAAGTATTAATTGAAAGTTATTCATCCTTTAAAAGTAATCATCATTATTTTTGGTAGAAAATTGGGCTCAATCTTTTTTTTATTTTGATTATCTAAATAAAGGGGAAAAACCATTTTCATAAAAAAATATCTGAGCATGATAAATATGTAGTTGTATTATTCATAAATAAAGATGGTTTAAAAGTGATATCAGCAAGAAAGGTT